GAGCTGGAGGCAGCACTGCAGGGGGGTCTCCCCAGAGCAGAGCAGAGGGGCACAATCCCCCCTCGCCCTGCTGGCCACGCTGCTGGGGACGCAGCCCGCGAAGGTGCATTTATGTCCTTCTTTATTAATTACTGTTCCTTGCCACCGCTACAAAGACCAGCTTGCTCGGTAGCATTATTTTGCCCAATGTGGAATTTTGCACTGTATCTTTAAAAAGTTTCCCAAGAATGTTACAGATTTACATGTCCATGTTAAAAAAAAAAAAAACCAAACCCTGCTTACTCTTGACTACAGCCGCTGATATCAAATGCTGCAATACAGTATTTAGACCATATTTTTTAAATTAAGAACTATTTTCCACTGAAAACTATTCCAGCACAACTATCTAGTGCATACCAAGAGAATTGTCACGTGAGAGGCACAAAGAGAAATAATTTTGAATGAATTAACACGTTACTGGTTTTCTTTATCAATATTTATCCAAACACCTTCCACCTCTCTACTCAAAAAAATGCTATTTACTCCTTCACAAGGCACTCATATGGCCCTGAACAATTATATTTTCTGAGGGGCGTTCTTAAATGCTTCGTTATGTAACGCTGACAGTAAAGTTTGGTATATTAAAGAATTGAATCATCTTGAATGGACAGGGTTTTGAACACTAAGAACATAGTTTTCCATAAAAAAAAAAAAAAAAGGCAAACCAAACCACCAAGTTTATGTATGTGTGTATATATTTTTTTTATATATATATGTATACATATAAAATAAAACCTGTGGGTTCCCAATGATAGACCTCTTGCTGCAGCAAATACCACGCGAGCGTTGCCTTCCTGCACAGACAAAAAGCGGTACACAACGCAACCTAAAAGACAGAGAAAAAAAAAAAAAAACAAAAAAAACCACCAAAAACAACAAACACGCAGCCTCAATAACCTCCGTGACTCAGCGAACGCGATTGCCTCGCCATCGCGCTGCCCCAGATACTCCACCATCCGGCTGTGCCCACATCGCTTTACTGAGATTAACAACACAGTTGGGGTTGGTTGGCTGTGTTTTTTTGTGTTTGTTTTATTTTTTTTTAATTCTGGGCTTCTTCCTCTTCCAGGCAGGCGGGTCTCGCATTCCACGCGTTTCTCCCAACCTCTTTCCATCTCACCCCGTTAACCTGCAGCGCGCTCAATTGTGCCGCGAATATTCTGTCTGCTTCGCCAACACGACACAGTTCCAGCTCCCCTCTGCCCTCGCCTTTTGCCTCAAGTTATTTAACTTTATCTAAGCTTTTTACTTTTCTTGCTATCTGCTTTGCCAACACGACACAGTTCCAGCTCCCCTCTGCCCTCGCCTTTTGCCTCAAGTTATTTAACTTTATCTAAGCTTTTTACTTTTCTTGCTTTATAAAATCATCAAACCTCAAATTAGAGGTCCTAGAACTCAAGACAAGGCCTGCACGCTTGGAGCAAAATCACTGTACACAAGGACTAAAAAATAAAATAAATAAAATAAAAATAAAATTAAATTAAATTTAAAAAAATAAAAATAAAATAAAATAAAATTAAAATGAAATAAAATAAAATAAAATAAAATAAAATAAAATAAAATACAATACAGAAAAAAAAATTTTAAAAAATCCCAAATTAAACTTCTAGCACAAGGGCTAAGTATTATCCCATTTGATAGTCTGCAGATGGTGGGTACAGCTTTGGAGCAACGATCTCCCTGCCACCACCACCCCCGAAGAAATCTTCATGGGTGAATATGAAAAATACAGCCCTCCTCCAGTCACTTATTTAACGCTCTCACTGTGACACGCCCGTTCAACGGCGGCAAGATGGGAAACTTTTTGGTACACGTTAGAAAAAAGTAACTTTTCAGATCTTCTGGTTTGTCAGGTCAATCACGTACCCAGTAATTCAGTTTGCAATTCAGAGAACGCTGCGCCATAATAACATGAGGAGGTCAGTCGTAAAGTAAAATTATTTGCAGATTTGTCCCACAAAGTGCCATTAGCTCTTCCGTCTCTTATAAAGATAAAAGAGGCGATTTCCTCTTTCAAAATTAGTGGGGTTTTCTCTTTTCCAAATTGAAGTTACGCTTCATGAGGATACATTTGCAACAGAATCTTGCCAATTATCACATGAAACAATTTTCCTAAATTAACGCTGCTTTCCCCCAGGTTTAAATTTATTATGGAGGCAGACCAACAATAACTATCCAAACCGCCTTTCTCCTTTCTCAGTCCCAAGAGATTCAGAGTACCTACACACGCAGCATACGCAGCTGTAGAATTACCGACTTCTCCTGAAAAAAAAACACCCAAAACCCCCAAAAAACCCTGTTTCCAAAAGCGCGTTGAACCAATCCCTTTTCGTTTTGCTGCAGGAAACCTTTGGGAGGAGCTGAAAGACGACAGCCTCGCCGTGGATCCCCTGGTTCTCATTTCAGCATCCCCAACGTCTTCCCCGTGTTTCCCTCCCCACTGCCAACTGGAGACGGGCGCCAACGGCGGCGTCCAGAGCGGAGCTCCGCACGGCACTCTGCCCGACCTACAGCTCACCACGCTCTACTCCGCCTTCATGGAGCTGGACACAGTGTCTCCTGCCTACCTAAGTAATCCTGGATCCAAACCGATAGCGCTAATGTGAACCACGCACCAACCGAATTATTGTTATTATATTATTATTTTGTCTGAATACAGTCCTAACCATCACACGCACTTACCTATATCTGATTTATGTCAGCTGAAACTGTGTCCGTCGGAATAAGAATAGTCTTTTTCCAGAACTCGCCCGCAGGATATGTAGCTTTACTATGATGATTTTCTACGGAGAGACACTAAAAAATAAATAATAAATAAATAAATTTAAAACTATTTAAAGATAATATTGTTAACGGCTGAACTGGTCAACACCATTTACTGGTCAACACCATTTTATCAAGCCACTCATCTTCTGCATCTTCCAGAAACAAAAGACTACCACAGGAAACCAAATGACTGACTTTTCTTCTTCTTCTTCTTTTTTTTTTTTTTTTTAAATGAAAGCTGCTTGTAAATGAACACAGAAGTCATAGCAAAAAATAATTAACTTATTTCCTGGAGCCATCGATGTCAACAACATCTGCCACAGACCACAAAAAAAATCCAACAAAAATAAAATCAACAAAAAAACCTGCATATTAAAACATTTATAGTCCCCTCGAAAGAAGTTTTGGGTTTTGAGAAACGAGAACGTAAACTGAAAATTCTGCAAGGATTAGAAGAGGACTAGCTGCTGACAGACTAAACCAAAGCAACAAATATACTTCAGTGACAAATCTAAGTTTTACTGTGTTTAAAAAGAAATTAAAAACTCTTGCTTTTTTAATAAAAAAGATCAAAACAATTTAGTAGAATTTTTACTTGGCTGGAAATTGTTCACATTCATTCCTCTATTTCCATCCACATCAGCTGAACAGTACCATGAATTACTCGACCGCTAAATCAAGATTTTGGAAAATGCTAATAAAAAAAAAAAAAAAAGAGAGAGAACGGTAATCGTTGCGGTTAGCCAGACCCAGAGAGCATCTCTGTTTTAACACCCCGCTGATGTCTGATGCAGCCGGCAGGGCTCAGGAGGATGCTGAACCAGCCCTGGCGTCGGGACAGCGTGCGGTTCCTCACATCAACCCAACTAGGCATGTCGGGAGGCAGTTTCTCAGGAACACGCTTCTCCGATGCGCCCTAAAGGCGCTGCTTGTGACACGAGAGAAGAGTGTTTTAGTTGAAGTGAAGCAATCTAAACCCAAAGGAATTCTCAGCAGTCTTTAAGGACAGGAAGGGAAACGGTCTACAAACCAAAAATAAATATCAAAGCATCGCGACTGACACCTCTATTCACACCTTAGGGAAACTCGGCAGAAACTAAGGAGGTTAAAATTTGAGTCAGACTGGGTGATTTACGCTGTGAAAAAGCAGCAAGGAATGGCAAAGAAAAAACCAGGGCAGGCAGAATCGTGACAGTATCGTTAAAATAAACACCGGCGGGTTTGCTCGGCCGCTCTCTCCCGGCGGGGTGGCAGCACTGCCCGCCCAGCCCAAAGCCAAACCCGGGGGCAAATCAGCCATCCCTCCCAGCCCGGGCTTACAGCGGAATCAGCTTAGGGGCAGACGGATAGAGAAGACTTAGGAAGAGCGCGTGTGATGCAACTTTGCAATCCCTTTAGGCGGCTGTGGAGAAATCCCCGCTTGACTCCGACCCCTCTTCCTCCCCCTGCCCGCAAACCGGACATGCGGAGAGAGAAAGGCGGCCGGGTTTGCGGGGCTGTTCCCCGCGGGAAACGGGCAGGAAGAGTTAGGCAAACGGACTAGAGATAGGTGAGGCAATGCTTGAGCATCCCAACATTCAGGTAAAGAAATCGGGGAAAAATGAAGTATGCCACATCACTAGATGTGTGCGTGTTAAATAAGCCTAAAGTATAAAGCTGCTAAACATTATACTCAGTGTAATTTAAGAGTTGCCAAGTTGCAAATAAATACAGCAATAATATTATCCTAGATAACTTTTTTGAAAAAAATAAAAAAATCAAATATATATATCCTAATATAACCGTGCACTGAGGACAAGCAAAGCCAAACGGGGCCCCTGCCCTCCGGCAGCGGGGTTGTACCTGGTAAGGTCATTAGGTTCGGCCATTAAAATACGCCAACATCACTCTTAGGCCAAAAATAATAGTACTATTTGGTAAATCATGTCATCTGCAAATATTAGACTGTTTGCAACGGCTCTCTGATCTCTCTGTGTGATCTCTCTTGTTGCCACAGAGGACACACTGCTGTGTCACCTCCCCACCGGGTGGGATGAGCTGCCCGGACCCTCTCCAGCTCCTCACATACACGTACCTTCAGGTACCTTCAGGTACCTCAAATACACGAAACTTCAGCAAACAGCCACCCTGACGTCAGCAGGACTCCCGCACACAGCTACCTCCATCCTTAAGGGCTTTTTTCAGGCCGAGATTGTCCCCGTTCGGAAGTCCTCCGCCACAAACAATGAGGAGCTGGTAGGCAGACTCAAATTTTCAGATGCCCGAGGGAGGGAGATTCTCAGTTCTCAGCTACATTCGATCACCGTTTGCATCAAATTCTTGTTAGCTCCTTTTAAAATCCTCATAATGATCCCTACTGAGTAGCACACAGAGAACCAAATTACGGCCGGTGTACAGCACGATATAGACCGGTGCAAGATATCACCCTCCAGAATTAACGATCTTCCCGATATTTTATATTTCGCAGAGGGAGGCGATGACAAGAAAACGCATGAGAACGTACCAGATGGAGGGCATCAGGAAGGCCCATCGCTCTAAAAACATAGCAGGATTGTAATAAAATATTTGCGATCAAAGCAAATCTGCGGCACATGAAAAATCTGTTAAAATTAACAGCGTGATTCTGGACAACACTTTACCAGGATGAGCTAAAGATCTGCTACAGAAGCCCCGTATTCACGGGTTTTAAAGCCAGAAAAGCTAAGCTTCTGTTTCTGCATTAAAGACTTATAATTTACGGTCAGAGCAATTCATTCATGATTTGTAAATTCACGTGTCGCTCACATCCCCGGTGATCTGCGTTTAACAGACTGGGGCGGTCTCTCAGACGCGTCAACACATTCCGCACTTGTGACCGTACACGTGATCACGAGAGGGAGGGGAAGGAAGAAATAGAGAGAGAAACCCAGTTGTCATACTCTAGTCTGTTATTTTTCTTGGTTACAATTCTTTGAAGAATGATCAGACACATAGAACAAAAGGGAAAAGGACACTCTAACGTGATTTTCTTGTGTTTCGCTTGACTTTCTTGACATACCGTAGCTACACAAGAGAGGTTTGTCCTCCCTATATAAAGTGATTTATTCTAAGCACCTTAGAGTATTTTCTCCGATGCATTCGGTATTTAACAGGGTTGGACATTTCACAGAAGTTAGCAGTCATCACATCATTTTTCTTATATTAAAAAAGAGTCACGTTTAAAAAAAGAAAAAAGGCTGCAAGTTATTAAGTAACATAAATTGTCTGGGTTTTCCTTCCCGCCCCCTTCCCTTCGGGCTCTTACATCTAGAATTTAATTGTCTCCCTTCAGCTTAGCATTAGCAATTCCAGTACACACACACAAAAAAAATCCTGTTGGAATATGGGCACGTGAGGAAAGAGTCATTAGAAAATACAATTCTGGAACATTATTTTTTTTTTAAGTAAAACAACTATATTTACTTAACTACTCTTATTTAAGGTTATATAGAAGAATAATCCTTATCTGGTGGAAGTACTTTTAAAATAATTTTTGACACAGTTTATAGCACAGTAAACACTTTCTTAGAACTTGCAGAGCTGGTGACACCTTACTTTGTACCTACCATAAAATAAGTATTTTGCACACGTTGCAAAACCATTGAAGATACATTTGCATTAAAGACCATTTTAAGTAGTACTTAAAGAGTAGAGGGAGAAAGGAGGAAAAGAATGAAGTTTTCCCAGTCCAAGGCTAACGATGTTTGCTTAATCAGCCTAAACCAAACACATTATGCAAACTGCTATTTCTGTCTAGGAAAAAAAATAATAATCTTAAGAGTAATTACCATAAAGATATCTTATTACAAAACAGAAGGAAGTGTTCACGGTCGCCCTCTCCAACATACGATTAGGAAACAAGTGCGTTCTAAAGTTTAGAATTTCTCAGTTTAAATTTTTCTTATTGTATGTTTCGTTCAGAAAATTCCAATAATAGCAATTTCTGTCAAAAGGAGGTTTTCAAGATCTTTTTTCTTGACATGAGCCTAAGTTTACTGTTACGAGACTTCTGGCTAAAGTGGAAGTGTGTGTATGTGTATATGTGTATATATGTGTGTGTGTGTATATATATATATATATATAAAAAGTATATGTTTTCCTGTTCTGGGTATGAAACCATCGCCCCTGAAGATTCATTTGCTTTCGTGGATACAGTTCTTTTCAGACACGGTCACATCTTTGCACAACCTTCCCAAACCCTGGCACAGCACTGAGCTCCTTCAAACCCACAGTGATCAGCAGCTATTATGGAACAGATAAAGTATTCAGTAGTGCGTCAGTGTTACTTTATGTCTCTAACTTTGTACACAAAGCTCGAAAAGAAAAGTGCAACTGACTTAGCGGCGCTCCCGAATAACTTTAAACTATGGGCTGAACCAAATATTCGGATTCCAGAATATAGTTCAATCCATGCTGATGTTCTATTTTTATACTTCCATCTGACTTCCAGATCTGTGTGTGTGTGCATTTAGACTACTCAATATCCAAAAAGGCAAACACCTCTACAGAAGCTTTTTCTGACCTCTTAATACATTTCTAGTCTAAGGTGGACAAAACCAAAACGTTCCCCAGCTGAGGAAGAGCTAAAGGGTTCTGCCATAATGTAAACAGAAGTGTTAAAGCAGCGCTTCCCATGTCTGCCCATAGCGAAAGTTTACGTGAGAACTACAGATTTGTTCTCCGCTAAAATAACGAAGGATGGGGTTTGTTCATAAAATAAAATCTAAATCCCGTCCTTTTGGGAAGCAGAAAAGGGCTGGTTTTGTGTTGTCCATGCAAAGAAACAAACAATACTTGTTTGCACTGAAAATACTGAAAACAA